AGTAAATGAAATCCGAAATGTCAGTTTTAGATTTACACGGTAATCTTGACAACCCATCTGCATTACTTATACTACTCCCTTTTTTATATTGAATGTCATATTGATAACCCGAAAGTGTAATTGCCCACCTTGTAATTCTAGCAGCAGCTGATGCTGGTATGCCTTTATTCTTACCAAAAATATATTGAAGTGGTTGATGGTCAGTAATTAAAATAAATTTACGACCATATAAAAATTTATGAAATTTTTTTACGGCAACCATTATGGCTAAAGCCTCCCTTTCCAGATTGCTGTATTTTTGCTCTGTGTCAGATAAGGTACTGGACATAAACATTACCGGCTTTTCTATACCATCGATTATATGGCTTAGAACGGCTCCGACCCCGTAAGAACTAGCATCACAAGTAACATAGATTGGAAGCCCTGGGTTATAATAAGTTAATACACTATTTGACGTTACCAACTCCTTGCTTAATTGAAAAGCAGTATCACACTCTATTGACCAATCTTTAGTAACATTACTTCCTGATTTACATAGATCATATAAAAATTTTAATTTTGATGAAAGCATAGGAATAAATTTTCCATAATAATTCAATAGTCCTAAATATGATTTTAATTCAGTTAAAGTTTTTGGTTTCGGTGCGGCTTTAATTGCTTTAATTTTGTCTTCTGTTGGGTGAATGCCCTTTTCATCTATAAGGTGTCCTAAAAATTCAATTTGCTTATGAAAAAACTTACATTTTTGTTTATTTACTTTGACATTATACACTTCAAGTCTTTTTAGAACATCTCGTACATGTTCATAACACTCACGTAATGACGATCCAAACACAAGGATATCATCCAAATAACATTTAGTATTTTTTAGGCCAGCTAACATAGTATCCATAACCGCCTGAAAGATGCCTGGTGCTGAACTTATACCATACGTTAACCTAGTATATGCAAAAAGACCCAAATGAGTGTTAATAACTAGTAATTTTTGTGACTCTTCACTAACCTTTAATTGTTGATATGCCCCTTTCAAATCTAAAACCGTAAAAAACTTTTGACCACTAAGACAGGCAAATATATCTTCTGGAATTGGTAAAACACAGTGATCAGAATCTAACACCTGATTTAATGTTTTTTTAAAATCCACACAAATGCGTAACTCGCTTGAATTCTTTTTTGGAACAACCACTATCGGACTGGCCCAATTACTAAAATTTATTTTACGTAATATTCCAGAGTTAACCATTTTTATTAATTCTATTTCAACTTTATCTTTCAATGCATAGGGCATATCATACGCTCTAACAAAGATAGGTTGTGCTCCCTCTTTTAATTTAAGTTCAATTTTAAATTTGTTTATGTAAGACTCAGGTTGATCTAAAAAGACACTTTTGAAATCATTTTTGATGTTTAATGTTAGTTGCGCAACAACTTGTTCTTCTTTTTGTACTAGGCTTTCTATTTTTTTTTTCTGAATTGATTTTTCGCAACTCACATCTCGACCCACCTGTTCCGACTGCCACTGGCTTACCTGCTGAATGTCATTGGACTCCGTTTTTTTTGAAAAATTAATGTGACCTCTCCAGTTGGGACTCAGGCTTTTTAACCAGTTTCGACCTATTAATGGTGCAAACTTATACTTGGATTTAAGGACTACCAATGGCAAGCTTAACAATACCTTATTATGGTTTACAACAACATCAGTTTCACCTATTATACTAACTTCTTGCCCTGTAAGGACTCTTAGATCATACTTTACATTATAAAGGGTTAGATTTGATAAATATTTATTAAAATCGTCAATGTGCATTACCGTACGACATGCACCTGTGTCTATTTCAAAACAAATCTTCCTACCTTCCAGATCTAACACTGCCTTTTCTGCATCTTCTTTCATGGATCCTAGGACTGACAAAAATCCTAATACTAGTGAATCATCCTGACTGGACTCCTCACCTTCGACTTCCTCGACTGCATTGACATTTGGACTCTTACACACTCGACTGGTGTGACCTTTTTTCTTACATTTGAAGCATTCCCAACCCTTGGCCGGACAGTTATTCGGATCATGTTTCCTTAGACAACGGAAACAAGGTCTCCATTGGGTTCCTCCTTCTTTTGACTGACTGGACTTCGATTCATTCTTGAACACTTTCTTCTTTACAAACAATTTATCTAATTCTTCTGCGACTGACAACACATTGTTTTCGCCTCCCATAGACTTTATTTGACCTTCAGCTAATTCCATCGCAAGGGCTGTTTTATACGCACTTTCGAACGTAAGGTTGTCTTCTGATAATAGTTTTCGTTTGATAGCATACGACCGAACGCCACAAACCAATCTGTCCCTTAGGCACTCTGACAAGAATTGACCAAAACTACAATATTGCGAGAGGTTTTTTAATTTTGCTACAAACATTTTGATGTCTTCGTTTCCTTCTTGTATCGCATTGTAAAATTTGTATCGTTCGGCTATTATTAGCCTTTTTGGGGAGTAGTGATCTGATAAGACTTTCTTTAATTCCACATACGTTCTTGTACTTGGTAAATCAGGGGCTAGGAGATCTTTTAGAACATTGTAAGCCTCTCCCCCCAATAATGTTAACAGCATTGCTACCTTTTTATCTGCCTCGACTGCATTGCAAATAAATAATTGTTCCAATCTTTCCAAATATGACGTTATATCAGATTCTTTTGGGTTGAACTTTTCGATAGACCCTATCATCGCCATTTTGTTTCACTCACAGACCTCAACTAACTTGACTTATTTCTAATCCTCGACACGTGGAATTCGATTTTCTCGTCGCCAATTTACTGTTATGTATTGACTAATATAACAGACTCTGGTTTGTATTAAGACTTTTATTTGACTATTAATTTTAATGATAACATGAAATACACTTAGACGGTGTGACTGTGGCGTGACTGACATGTGACTGACTCGACTCAATGTTCACACACCGAACCATTGCTGCCAACCCTTTTTCACTGAACCACAGCCCACTGAGCTAACATAACACTACCATTGCGTTTAGGTATAGATTTAGGTAGGTAATTCGTATTCGTTCTCGTTGTGTTGATACATTCATGTGCTCTATTTAGTAATACTTATTTGTTTGTAATTTCTTTCAAAATGTAAAAACCGCGGAGTTATTTTATTTGTTTATCAGGGAAAAAAGTGCCTTCTATTTAGTAATAATTATATGTATACAACTAAATTTGAAAAAATATATATTTTTTTAACTAGAGGATACTTGATATCCTTTCGAAGAAACTGAGCCCAAAAATAATGTTTTAGTCATAACCCTGCCCCGGAATAGTCAGTTGAAAATGGGTCTTTTTTGCAAAAATGGGCGTAGAACGAAAAATGACGAATTTTTGACCTTTTGTATTATCGTTTCCAAGACTTTCCAACAATAAAATCATGCCCAGTAATTTTTACGAGTTCTCCATGATTTTTCACCTTTATTTCTTGGTCTAATACTACAACATACGACTTCCTTCGCGAAAAAAGTTTTACTTTACTACCTATGTTAGAAGTGCAGTTTAGCAGAGCATTTATACGTAATGTCACAATTGTTGGGGACTACCATAATACTACAGGGCTACGCTTGGAGGATATATAAAACGAAAACGTAATTTTTATTCTGAATTTTGAGGAATTTATGTTTGTTAATGACATTTTCTATTAAAACTGCTTAATTTTTATGAGGTTGTCAGAATGTATCCTATTTTGTGACTTGGCAGTAAATTGTGGAAATAATTCGACAATGGATAGCCAGCTTTTTTTAGAATGTCTTCAGAATTCGACAACCATAAACTACTATAGACTTGGGTGAGCCAGTTTCAAAAGGGCCGAGCTTACGAGTCGAAAACTGATTTTAGTAGGTTAGATTATAAGATGTTTTATAACAGGTAATTATATATCTGTCCGTGTAAAGCCTAGTCCAGATCTACACATAAAAAATGTGATTTTAAACAAAATATCCAAAGCAAACATAAACATTGGCTCGTCGTAAACGAAATTAAACGTTAATTAAAGATTTTTTTTGCTCATGAATAGAAGTTTAAGAACAGAAGTAGTCTAACCATACCAGAAAATATTCACTTCGTTCAAAAAATACCTATAAAAGTATTTGAGAATGACATATTTTTTAAAATAAAGTAGAACATGATAAGATAAAATCTAATCTCTAATTAGCCCATGTTATTTGTGAGCAAACATGTCTACACTTGTCTTCTCGGTGCGTAGCTATGGGGGGTTAATAATCGGATTTCTAGATTTTGTTTTAGAGTTAGCTCTATAATGACTAGTAGACTTTTCTCTGCAGACAAATTAAGACCGTGGAGTGTCACTCAACGATAAGACTTTAGTAATTTTGTTTATAAAATAAAGGAAACCTTCCCCGTACAGAAATACCATTTTAATGTATCTAATTCAAATATTTTCAAACTTTTATTATAGTTTACTACAATTATTATGTCTTTCTAGTGGACTGCGCGACAATCTTCAGCCACCGTTTAAAAAATATACATTTTACCTCACGTTAATTTTTTTCTTTGTAGTTTCTACAAACAACAATTAGAAATAATATAACAGTTTTGTTTTTAAAATTTGCTGGATAGTAATATATACCCGCGTAAAATAACGGCATTTCGGTTTTACCACAATTCAGTGGTATAAATATCAAATATTCCTAAAGAAAATGGCGAGAAGATGCTGAACAGTGCAATTTTTTCCCAAACAGTATAGACGTTTTTCGCGTGTTAGGCACGGGCAACATAATTTTTTATGAATTGACGAGCAAAATATGTATAATGAAGTACTATAATATTACTCAACTTAACCTAACTCGACATAAACTGTTTTTTTTTCCATAATTTCATGCATACACACGAATTTGCCCTATAAAAGAGAAGCTTAAAACTATTCTATTTGGAAAGAAACCATGTCTTCAGATGTATGGGGGAAATAAGAATGTGCTGCTGTCGTATTCCACCCTTCGAGCGAGTTTCAGGATTTCAGAACACTCAGTATATTCCTAGAAGTCGTCTTGTACTTACGGATATGCCTGAGACCGTTGAATTGGGAAGGAGGCGAAACACTCAAATTCGCCTACATTTCCAATCCAAACCGAAAACCCGCCACGGTTGCAAAACTAATCGCCGTCGGCCGGACAAATCAAAAAAGCCCCCACGGTATCAGTTCAGACATCGAACTCGATACTGTCCGAGAGCAATCTCCGCGACTCTGCATCTCAGTGCGGACGTCGCCCCATAACATGACATCGATCCTCCCGGCGATAGCGCTTCCAAAGCCCAAGACCAATTTCACCGATGTTTCCAATGTCACCCGCATCGCGACCGATCTCGCCTGGGTCTGCCTTCCCTGCGCTCAGTATCCCCTGCAGCGACTCTCGTAACCTGCAGACGAACCCCGGGACGCTTCAGGGCGATATTTGGAAACTACCATCAAAATTTTTTCTTACCTTTCGAATTGGTCAAGGACGCTATTGTCAATAACGCGAAAAGTTGTTGAGCGATCGGTGTCAAAATTTAATGCAGCACTCCTCAAGTCGCTGGCATTATCTTACTAAATTTTCGTCCGAATCGGATGAGCCAAAACGCCGTTATACGGGGAAACGCGGATTTTACGTTTTCCGCGTTTTTAGCAGTTCCGGTCATTCGATATCGGCCGAACCTCAAAACCACGCTAAAGAATCCCTAGGTGGTTAACATATCCAAATTCGAGCCGAATCGCGCGACTACTAACGGCCAGCTAAGCCATAATAGGTTTTCACGTCTTCATAGCTGCCGCCGAAAGTGTCCGCGTGATCTCGGCCGAACCCTCCAACCACGGCACTACCCGCACTGCCGTGCATCACCAGTCCACTGTTGAACTAGATCCATCCAGTATTAAGACCTCCGTAAGCCCTTTTACGAAAACGGGGAAAATTTCACTGATGTTTCCAATTTCTCCGTCTTTGGGCCGAAAGGACCGTCTTCCGAGGGTCCCACCGCTCTGGCGGTCGGATGCGATGCTCGGTAGCCTAAGCCGAGACCGCAGGTAGAGTTTTCTCAAAATGGGAGGAAACTCCAAAATCCCCGATGCCGACATCAACTATCCGGAGAGGCCAGAGGGGAACTAGATTCGACGTCGACAGCGACGATGGGCGCTTTTTACTGGAAATTTTGGCGGACGATTCACGAGCGTTCCGACAAAAGTATGGAGATCGGAGGAAAGCGATCGAACGTCTACTTCCGACGTTCGCAGTACTACAGTGGGAGTACATGGTGCGAAGAGCGATATAGAGCAATATGTAACAATAAATATTCTATGGTAAATGTCTTGTATATGTTAATTGTGAACCTTTATTGTGTTAATTTTGTTCAATAAATCCTTTAACATATCTTCCACGGTTTGATTGAAAAAAACCTGTCATCAAGCTCAAGAACTTTGGAGCTCAAGCTCACAGGCTCGCTTAACGAGGCTTCCGTTGAGGCTGCCATTCCTCGACGCGGATATTTATAGTGCCTAGCAACCACTACTCGCTTCACGAGACGTACCACCCGAGGTAGCCTAGCCTGAGGTGAAGACCCTGTTCGATAGCTCGATTCGCTGTAGGCCTGGACAGCCTCGTGAACGTGGGTCTCATCCGTCATCGACCCCGATCACAAGCGTGGCCAGTGTAGGCGGTTTGTGGGGTGGGACCTCCTCTTGTCCTGGCTGACCCCCGCCGGCAGGGAGCCACTACTGACGTTCTTATTGCCTTCTCGCTTCTTTCTTCGCCGGCTTGTCCGACCCCCCGGCGGATAGTCATCATCGCGTGAGCGTGTGGCGGTGCCACTCGCGCCCTCGGGGTGAGTTTTTGCAAATACTCTCAATGATTGAAAGTATTTGGTTTTTGGCAGTAGCGTTGTAGTTAAGGATGCACGTGACCAGCGAGCCAAATGACTCATGGGTTGGTGCGGAGAAGGGTACGTTAGAGTAGCGCAGTATCATTTATCTAGGAGTAGCGCGGAGTTCTAGTTCTTTGTTCTTTCTTATCTAAAAGCAATAAAAACATTCAGTTGATGTACAGGGTGTTTGAAAAAGTTGGTACAAAATTTAAGGGGGTGAAAGTAGAGCCAAAAATAGTAAAAAAAGTTCCTATAAATATTGGTCCTCCAGAGCACCGTTACCGTGATATGGCCCTAAAAAGGGGTCTTATCATTTGGATATTTTTTAAAAATAACTTTCTTTCTGATTAAGATAACGGATTGAAAATTGTAGGTAATAATCATACCATAAGGGTCTTTAACTATTATAAGTTTCATCAAAATCGGTTATAAATAAGGATAGTTTTGTTACCACTTTTAACACAAAATTTTTCGAATTTTTTTTATTCTTTTGAATTGTCAGGCAAATAATTTTTATTTATATTATTTTCTAATGAATTGGACTTTTTTGAAGAAAAAATGTCCCTACTTATTTTTTCGAATTCTGCGTAGTTTAGTCAGAAATAACTATTTTTCAAATAATGTATGGCTCAGAACAGTAACTCTTTTTAAACATTTTCACATAGTAGGCATCTTTTATAGTGACAGTTTCATTGTAATGATACTAATTATTGTCACTTTCGCGTGCTATGATTTAAATTCTTATGTTCCTTTATTTTCTTAGTTGTGATCTTTGTGCTCTTCGCATTTCATTCGATTTTTTTACAACCATGAACTATCATGCTTTTACTAACCGTGAGTATGCCGATACTCTTTTTGAGCCGCCAAACTATTTCCATTACAGAAATCGTAAATAAAATGCATATCGGTATATTCACGGTTAGTAAAAGTATGACGGTTCATGGTTGTAAAAAAATGGAATGAAATGCACAGTTGACCACAAAGATCATAACTAAAAAATAAAGAAACATAAGAATTTAATCATAGCACGTGAAAATGACAATCATTAGTATCATTACAATGAAACTGTCACTATAAAAGATGCCTACTATGTGAACATGTTAAAAAGTTACTGATCTGAGCCATACATTATTTAAAAAATAATTATTTCTGATTAAACTACGCAGAATTCGAAAAAATAAGTAGGGACATTTTTTCTTCGAAAAAGTTGAATTCATTAAAAAATAATATTATTTGCTTTATAATTCAAACGAATAAAAGAAATTCGAAAAATTTCTGTTAATAGTANAATAATCTCTTATATATCTAAATCGTCTTCAAAAATATCCATGTCCATGTTTATTTCAAGATCAAGATGAGCGAAGATGAGGTTAGGTTATTGCACTTAAATTTAAGTTTTCTTTAAGCCTGGAAAAACGCGGGCTTAGCTAAGCAGAATTTAAGGAAATGATAAGCCTTGTTTAAAACACGGTACAACTTAAATTTTATTTTTAAGTGCGACTTAGGCTTAAGCTCTTCTTAAAATTGTCGGTGCAAACGGGCATCAGAACAGTAACTCTTTTTAAACATTTTCACATAGTAGGCATCTTTTATAGTGACAGTTTCATTGTAATGATACTAATTATTGTCACTTTCGCGTGCTATGATTTAAATTCTTATGTTCCTTTATTTTCTTAGTTGTGATCTTTGTGCTCTTCGCATTTCATTCGATTTTTTTACAACCATGAACTATCATGCTTTTACTAACCGTGAGTATGCCGATACTCTTTTTGAGCCGCCAAACTATTTCCATTACAGAAATCGTAAATAAAATGCATATCGGTATATTCACGGTTAGTAAAAGTATGACGGTTCATGGTTGTAAAAAAATGGAATGAAATGCACAGTTGACCACAAAGATCATAACTAAAAAATAAAGAAACATAAGAATTTAATCATAGCACGTGAAAGTGACAATCATTAGTATCATTACAATGAAACTGTCACTATAAAAGATGCCTACTATGTGAACATGTTAACAAGTTACTGATCTGAGCCATACATTATTTAAAAAATAATTATTTCTGATTAAACTACGCAGAATTCGAAAAAATAAGTAGGGACATTTTTTCTTCGAAAAAGTTGAATTCATTAAAAAATAATATTATTTGCTTTATAATTCAAACGAATAAAAGAAATTCGAAAAATTTCTGTTAAGAATAGTTACAAAACTATCCTTATTTATAACCGATTTTGATGCAACTTATGGTAGTTAAAGGCCCTTATGGTATAATTATTACCTACAATTTTCATTCTGTTATCTTAGTCAGAAAGAAAGTTATTTGAAAAAATATCCAAATGATAAGACCCCTTTCGATGGCCATATCTCCGTAACGGTGCTCCGGAGGACCAATGTTTATAGAAACTTTTTTTACTATTTTTGGCTCTACTTCCACCCCCTTAAATTTTGTACCAACTTTTCCAAACACCCTGTATAATGTCTTATTTCTGTGGTGTTTTATGTTTTTATAATATTAACAGTATTTATAGTGGTAATTTAGTGAAAGTGATTTGTTTACGAAAAAACATATTAGCCAAACAGTAAATAGAAAATTTATAACATTTATGAAAAAAATACCTAGTGAACTGTTTATTGTGTTGAGGTGGCCACACCGGGTTGAAGAGTTGGTATTTAGGTCGTTTGTGTTTGTCTGTCGCGGTCTCACGGCCGTGTCAAAGCACTTTTCGGCGTTTATTCTTATTGTCTGGGTGGCGTTCGTAGCCAAGACGTATATTCTCCATTGACTTTAAATGGCTTTTTGGCGTGTGTCCCTACGTCGCGAAGGCGTAGGTTTGCTGCGGTTGAAGTACCACCTTGATAAGTATTCACTTATTTCTTAGGTCTTAGGCTAAGAGTGTTGCTACCTTTGACCTTTGAGTAAGGGATAGAACTTAGCGCTGGTGATCCTCGCCCACGCCACCGTCTCCACAATGTGTGGGTTCCACTAAGTCGCTGGTCCATCGTCACACCCAAGTATCGCGCATGTCGAGGTCGTGGGACTGCGTTTCGTGAAGAGGATCGCGGTAGGTACCTACTTTTGTGGTCAGTACAATTTTCAGTTTTTATGTTAATCATAAAATTTATAAATATTTTGCAAATAAAACAATATTTTCAAATATTATTAATATTTAATTAATTAGGTAACCTATTCATATCACCTAAAATATATAAATATTTGTAACAGTACACAAAATAAATTTGTAATAACGTTCTTGACTAATAATGTAATACATAAAAATCAGAATCTTTATTTTACAGCATTTACTATAACCCTTTTATGTACATCAGTTCTCCAAAGTGGTAAAAATTATGCAAATATTATGTGAAAACGTAAAAATTTAATAACTTACGTAGAATGTAGGTACATACATACATACTACATATTTGTTATTATCATATGTTACCACAAATGTAAAACATTTTCTTTAACTTTCAAAACACTAAACCAAGACTATATTTCCAATCGAGCTAGCTAATTCATCTTCTTCAAAGCCGCTTTCGTCACTACAAGCACTGCCATTTTCTTCCTCTTCAAAGTCATTTCGATTACGTATATTTATAAGGTAAGTAGGTTCTGACATACTCCGTTTTTTGTAAACCTTCAATGAACTAAAGTCCGAGTGACTTTCTCCCACTGGTATTAGAGAAACTTCATCCTGGTCCAAAATGGGTGTATTATTATAGGCAGTATTCAGTCCGCAATACTTTAAAATATCTGTATTTGCAATTTTTTCGAAACTCCTTACTCGTGACAACATATTATTCCCTACTATAAATTCTAAATCAGTCTTCTTTTCAAGTACAGCTTTACCACATGCTTCCTCTTCATGAACAATTTCATTTATTGTAGGGAAAATTACTTGCTCCACATCAGATACAATAGTGCTTGCAGAATCACAGCCACTAGACAGTGAACCTTCATCACTGTCATGGGGAATTAGATCTGGTTTTTCTCTTAAAGCATTAAACCACGCTCTTTCGCAAGTTTCTAACAGATCATTTCTTAGTGAATTTTGAACTAGTTCTTCTAAGATCATGTCACTCTTTTCGTCTAAAGTTAAGTCTTCTATACCATTTTCAAACTGAACTTTCCTACTCAACACCTCTTTTTCATTACAGAAATCTTCTGTAATAGGTATGGTAGTGTCTCTGAATTGGAATTTATTTATTAAGTAATTGTTCCTTTTGCCTAATAAACTACTAGTACTGTCATAATGTTTTAATATTTCTTTGTATATTTTTTGAGAACTTTGAAAAGTATCATCTTCTTCTATGATTTCTTCAATACTTGTTAATTTTGGAGCTGACTTTGACCTTTCTAGGGGAGGTTTGTAGTTATGTGACCCAGTACTAAGTAATATTTTTCTTCTAGGTATTGTTGGATTCTCATATAATGAATTAACCAAAGATAATCTAGCATTTTGTCGTGATACTTTATCACGTTTAAATTCGTGTAGAGCTAATGCTAGTGACTGTTTCAACTCCATCTCAATCTGTCTTGCTATAGCTGCAGTTGAACATAAAACAGCATGGCATCGAAGTTCGTGTCTCAGCCGTCTTCCTTCGTGTCTGTACACCCAACAAAACAATCTAGGGAATTGATCAGGTGCAGCACAGGTGGTTAATCTATGAGCCCAATATTCAGTTAAACCATGGTCCTTTGTTGTTGCTTTTAAACCTCCTGCGCTTACGGTCAACTGCATACGAACGTCTGGTCGAGAAGATTGGGTATAATTGCGCCATAATGTGGCTAAAGGTTTCTCGACACAACCTTCACCTGCAAAATAAATAAATACGTAAGTATATAAATAAAATAATATTCTTAAAGAAACAAAAATTATTTCTAAAGCTAGTACTTTTGGTACCAAATAGTATAGTTACTTAATCCGACGATTATATTAGTGAATGAAACACATTACGAAATGTATGCGTAGCAAGTTTTTAGTATAATCGCGCGATTAGTCAAGTTTGCCTATAAAACTATTTATTTAATCCAGATCTTGTCCCGTAAGTACAATCAAAAGTCATTGCTCATTTATTTATAATGATTTTATGTAGATATACAGGGTGTTTGGAAAAGTTGGTGAAAAATTTAAGGTGAAAGTAGAGTCAAAAATAGTAAAAAAAAGTTCCTATAAACATTGATTCTCCGGAGCACTGTTACAGAGATATGGCCCTACAAAGGGGTCTTATCATTTGGATATTTTTTAAAATAACTTTCTTTTTGATGAAGATAATGGAATGAAAATTGTAGGTAACAATCATACCATAAGGGTCTTTAACTAACACAAGTTTCTTCAAAATCGGTTATAAATACCTACATTTTTAATGATTGTCACTTTCGCATGCTTTAATTTAAATTCTTATGTTTATTTATTTTCTTAGTTATGATCTTTGTGCTTGACTTTGCATTTTACAACCATGAACAACTATCATGCTTTTACTAACCGTGAATATGCCGACGTGCATTTTATTTATGGTTTCTGTAATGGAAATAGTTTGGAGGCTTAGAAAGAGTATCGGCAACGTTTCCTGATAGAAGGCAACCTTCTGCAAGTTTTTTTGGTGAAATTCATGCAAGAACGATGGAATCAGGAGCCCTAACTCCAAGATATCGTGAATTTGGCCGTCCAGAGGCGTAGGCGTACGAAGTAATTTTCGGATTTTTTTAACGTAATCCTACTGCGAGTGTAAGAAGAGTAGGTATCTGCTCATGAGGTTCATGGTTGTAAAAAAATCGATAGAAATGCAAAGTGAAGCACAAAGATCACAACTAAGAAAATAAAGAAACGTAAGAATTTAAATGATAGCACGCGAAAGTGACAATCTATGTATCATTACAATGAAACTGTCACCATGAAAGATGCCTACTACGTGCAAAATGTAAAGTTACTGTTCTGAACATTATTTAAAAAATAATTATTTCTGACTAAACTACGCAGAATTCTAAAAAAAAAGTAGACATTTTTTCTTCAAAAAGGCTAATTCATTAAAAAATAATATTATTTGCATGATAATTCAAAGGAATAAAAAAAATTCAAAAAATTTTTTGCCAAGGGTAGTTAGAAAATTATCCTTATAACCGATTTTGATGAAACTTACGATAGTTAAAGACCCATATGGTATAATTATTACCTACAATTTTCATTCCATTGTCTTAATCAGAAAGAAAGTTATTTTAAAAAATATCCAAATGATAAGACCCCTTTGGAGGGCTGTATCTCAGTAACGATGCTCCGGAGGACCAATGTTTTTAGGAACTTTTTTTTACTATTTTTGGCTTTACTTTCACCTCCTAAAATTTTGTACAAACTTTTCCAAACACCCTGTATAGGGTGACCTGTTTGATATTGGTTGTTGTTACAATATTTTTGAAAAACATCTAGTTTTTAATAAATTTCAAATATTATTCTAGTTCTTCTTAAACTAATTTGTGTTTAAAATTAAGAAATTTACCTAGTCATTCAGTATTTTAATAAATACCTATTTCGGATGTCATATAAATGTGTAAGGTTAATCCTTACAAAACCACCTTTGTTGTTACTTAAAAGATAGTCTGGCAAGGTCTTTGAACGGCACTTTCACCCAAGTGGAAAAAATGGGACATCAGCCACTATCAAAATTGTAGAGCATAATTAAAAAGTTAGAGCTGGACGAAGAACTCTAAGGTCATGGACTATATAACTATATTAAGTAATTACAAAAAAAAAATAAACAAAAGTTTGAAACTTTATCACTATATTTCCCTAATATTAACTTTCCGACTAAAATGGATTCACAGTATTTCGATGTCCCAGAATTCATCGTGCCCCATTATTTATGCTCCTATCTTATATAGCGTAGTTTTCAAATCCATGTCACAATTTTATGAGCTTATTTCTTCCTGGACATTTTAAGTCTAATGGCCCATTTACACAAGGCCAGTTGTGAAGACATTCCACTAAGCCAATCCAACATTGGCATCGTGTAAATAGAGACAATCCTGTAAATGGAATGTCTCCAGCCATTGTCCCAAGCCACTCCACTAATTAGAACGGTTTCTAATTTTAGGAGCCAATAGCGTCCCCCACCACTCAAGAAGTGGATTGGCTTGTGTAATGGCATTTGTGAGAACGTACGTTCCTAGCCAAGCCTAGCCTAGCC